TGGGACCGGTGAAGGCCTCCACATGGGACCGGCCAAGGCCTCCACGTCAGACCGGTGAAGGCCTCCACGTAGGTCTGAAGGCCTCCACATGGGACCGGCCAGGCCTCCACGTGGGACCGGTGAAGGCCTCCACGTAGGTCCGGTGAAGGCCTCCACGTGGGACCGGCCAAGGCCCTTTCCGCGTGTCTTTTCCGCATGTTTTAATGGCTGGGCGGCCCCAGCAGATCCTTCACGGAGGTACACTAAAATACCTGTTCGGCTATTTTAAAATCCGCATATTTTATTGTAGTAACCGTATAGTCATTTTGATCCTTCCATCCATCGATCCATCCATCCATCCATCCATCCATCCATCCATCCATTGCGTTGTATTGACATTATGTTACATAACATTACTCATTATTAAGTAACAATTTACATTATTTACTTTACATTACTTACATACACACCTACCTAACAACCAACCTACCAACCAACCTACCTACCAGGCGACCGACCTACCTACCTACCGGTCTCAGAATGCCGCCATTGCAATTCCAATAGGACGGGTGATAGTGATCCCCTCAGGCTATCTTGCGGGTTCTAAAAGCATTTTAATTAAAACCAATGAGTCGAGGTTTGTCAAAAATAACTGAACCACAAGTCGTGATAACATATATAATTTTTCTTGCAGCGGAATAGCAGATGGGAGTGAATCATTTTGCCGATTGTCCTTCAAGAGCTGTACCTCTCCGACGCACTTGAACCCACACAGCTGCCGATCGTCTGCAGTGTGGCCGGTGTGGATCGCATCAGATGGGTATCTTGCAGACTCGCACATTGAAGGTCAGTTAGATTTTAAGACGCTACATGAGGAGGGTATTCAGCAATTGACAAGCTGCAGGCTTGAGGCACTTCAACGTTCTGTTAGATACCCTCATAGCCATACCCTCATAGTCATTAGCATAGTTCGTAGGTGTACGTCAGCTCTGGGCTCCACTGGACAAGAACAGGATGAGTTGGGTCTATCTCATTCAAGCATTTGATCAAGAATACTCGATCAGACTTGATGAACTGTTGGATTTCAAAAACATGTTCCTGGCCAACTATCCTCCTCCAACCATGTTCCTTCCGCTGTGTCGCGGTGATTTTCGCAAACCCATGGATCTCTGAACCCCAAGCAACGCATCGCTTCCACCCAGTGGAGCGGGGAACCCACCGAGTGGACCCAAGCAACGCACCGGCCGAGTGGCCCAAAGAAGGTCACCGAGGCACGGAGAAGTCGCCCGACCGAAGCGCCGAAGTCCCGAGACAACGACCACCGACGAGACCGTGCACCGTCCTTTCCACCTGTTACTAATATCTTCTTGTTACTACTAGTAAGGCACCTGTTACTACTAGTAAGGCACCTGTTTCTAATAGCTTCTTGTTACTAGGAGGTTCTGATGAGCAAGGCCCATTCCAGCTTTGAGTCGGTCCAGAAAACAGGGGAAACATCGGGATGACATGAACACCTGTGGAGTGACATGCAAACTCAAGCGATCTCGGTTTTACAAGTTAGAGTGATCACCCGGTCCAGTCGGTCCAGGAAGCTTCGTTCCCCCACTTGCAGTTCCTCCTCCGTCGCCCCCGCCTTTCCACGGGCTTAACTTCTTGGGTGTTTGACAACATGTTGCATGAGGATGCGGCGTTTGACTCAACACTGTCAAAGTTCGTCCAAGGGAAGCATCTCACACACACCACGGAGAGTTCCAACACATCCCAGATTTTTGTGCGTAAGTCCGATGTTGCATGCGATCAGTGGTCCCTGTGATCCCTCAAAAATGTCGACCTGCATTGCATGTGGTGCATTTGCGGCAGCATCATGGCAGCATGGCGTCCGTTCCTGTCGGCCCATCAGATACTTAAGCCACTTTGCAAGTCAGCCACTCAAGGCAGTCCTGCCAGCATGCCAAAGACATGAAGGTCTCATCAGCACAGTTGCTGCTTGCTTTTCTTTGTGAAGCTTCGAGGATTGCCAAGAAATCTGTAGATAGCCTTGGAGTTCATGGGCGACGTTTTTGGTTGGCCAAACAGCAGGAAGTGCCGGTGAGTTGAGGATGTTGAAGGGCTAGACTGATGGCTTATACATTATATAATAATATAGATGGGTTTAGTCAACAAGTTTTTGCAGCCAAATTTACTCTTTATCAACAATCAACCTTTGCAGCTGTAGATCCATCTGACCACCTCTTTTGCTGCCTGCTGCACCCCGCTGTGCGGGCCGTGGGCGCGCTGATGCTCCTTCAGCCGGTGCGGCCGTGCGCCAAGCGCACATGAGCGTGAAGCCCAAGATGGCCCAGTAGTGAAACATCAGGCAGATGAGATGTCCAGACCAAGCTTGAGTGACTTGGTTGCTGCACCTGGAAACATTAATGTCATATGCAGGTGATTTTGAGAAGATATGTTTTTGTTCTTTGGCATGTAAACGAACACCGTGAACATTTCATGAGATGGGGTTGACCCCTTCCGAACTCTTCACCAGACCACAGGCAAGCTTAGACAGTGCATGCAGAAATACCTAGGCAACTGGCATCTACCAGGACTTACGGAATTGAAGTGCATTCAATGCACATCCCACTCCAAGGCACATGGAGGGAGCTGAGAGACAGGTGCCAAGCCCAGAGAGTCAGCGCTGATGAGAGGACCTCATTGGACCCCACCGTGGGTCGAGAGTGTGCCGAGGGTCGCCGACACATGGGTCGCCGACGCATTCGGGTACGAAAGCTGAAGAGTTGTGGGTCTAATTGACATGAACTAAACATACCATGATTTGTCATGATGATTCATCATGATATCGCCGGTTTCAGGGCCATCACCAAGTTGACTTGGCGAGATTCGAGTTTTCGTGTGCCCACGGGAACGCTCTTTTGGGGTGCAGGAGTACAAAAGATAACCTCAAATCATCTCAAATCACCAAACTGGGACTGGCTCTTCTGCCCTCAAATAAGTTAAAATAAGCTATATCTCAAATTTTTGGTGCAAGCGTAGATGCGTTCGCTGGCTTTCTAAGTCTCACAGGGACTTCCATCGGTTTGCTCCTCTGCCCAGTCCGGGCAGTCCGCGCGTCCTCCGCGCGGACGGCGCCGTGAGTCCGACTCAACTGAGGCTTCTCAAAGCTCTCAGCCATCTCAGGCTGCGACCCGCACGTGTCGCGGAGCCGGTCGCCGAAGATCCAGCCGGCGCAATAGTCGGAGTGAGGTGTTTCTGGGACCGGCTGAGTCTTTTGGGGAACAACTGCAGGTGAACTGGTGATGCTCTTTCTTTTTTCGTTGATTGTGCTGACTGCAGCAGCATGGCTGCCCGTTCTTTTGAAGCACACCCACTTGGTCAACACCCCTAAGACTCTGGAGCTCACCATAGGGAAGCTCTACAGAATTTGGCAAACCCATGACTTGATGAGTCGATGAGTCTGCAGTACAAAAATCACTCGCCATCTTTCGAACTCCCAACACGATTGATCGTGGTACGCGGCGGAGCCGGCGGAGCCACAAAAGGATACAGGGCGGACCCATGGTGAGAGTCGCCCATCTTCAAACTCTAAAAGTTCGACTTTGCAATCTATTAAAAACAAGACAAAAAGGAGGTGCCACGAAACTGGACAGCCCCAAAACTACCAGGTACTTCATTCATTTTATTTCTTTTAGTTCAACGGTTTCAACAACGGTTCAACCATGTCCAACGGTTGATCCGATTTGGCGAGGTGAGCTCCGAACAAGCGAAATGGAAGCAGATGATGGACGAGGGCATCGCGCGGTGTGCCCGGGAACCGGCCTTCAACGGTGCGGAAACAGAACCGAGACGCGTGGCGACGCAGTGGGGTGGGGTGGGATTGAGGGGCGTCAGGTTGTGAGTCAAAGGCCGGGTCTATAGAGCGGCCCCGGCAGCCCTGAGCTTCATGCAACGGATTGGTTGAACCTTCTACGAGTAACCCTGGCACAAACCTTCTGTACTCACATATAATGTAAATCCCCTGGCAATGCTCCTAGTAGCGTCCTTGCTCCTAGTAGCGATGCCAGGAGCACCTAGTAGCGTCCTGGCTCCTAGTAGCGATGCCTTGTTACTATTGCTTCTATAGCAATGTACAAATTGAAGTTCAAGTTGGCCATGCACAGATCCAACCAGAAGATCCAGCCGTTTGACGCTTTTTGTGTGCCTTTTCTTTGTTTCTTTTTAGCTCAGTGAGGCTCAGAAGACACCCTGCCAACATCATGCAAATCATCAACTGACCATCACTTGATCCTCACGTCTCCGAAGCCGAACAGGTACATGCGCGAACATCCGGATCGCTTCCACCGGAGGGTGCGCCGGGGGATCCCCCCGGAGTTCCGGCATGGGGTGCCCAGATGGAGGAGAGGAGAAGTGAAAAACTGAGGTTGGGTTGCCAACCTATGCCACAACCATATTCTTAGTTAGCATTGGCTACCGTTCAGAATATTCGATTCTCCTGAGTGTTTTTTCATGAAGAAAGAGCACCACGGTTGCACATCAGCCACCAGTTCTCCTGGTCCCTGAAAGCACAAATGATCCAGAATCCCTTTTAGAGTTCTAGGGCCGACCTTATTTATCCTTTCGAGGGCTTCGTGCAGCTTCTAGGTTCCGACCGATCCAATCAAATCAGAACCGCTCGGAAGGCGTTTTTACTTTTCCTTGTTTTCGACCTTCCGATGTGTCGCAGGGGACGTCTGACTACTGAGGTGGAGAGTTTGGAAAGCGGCGGTGAGGTTGGATGATGCCTGGCCTTCTGTTGAGTTGCTACACTCAGACTCCACTGAGAGGGGGAAGGGCCATGCGGCCATACGAAGGGCAGGATGACATTTGCTGGGTTGGCTAGGCCAGGCTCTGTTGGAGCATTTTTGGACGAGGGGCAGATGGAACAAGAACACAAGACTGTCCCAAGAGGATCAACACAAGAAATATGTCGAAGTATAGGAGTTAGTCGGATTCAGCAACAGTTCGGGACGGATCAAACAGGGCATAAGCAAGGAAGGCAGGAAGGAGAGAAAGTTTTTTGGAGCACCTTGCCACTCGCCTGTGGCCGCCTATGGTATGGCCTGTGGGTTGGAAACCCGTCGTGAGTGACATCAGGGCATCGGTGAGATCAGGAAGGACATGAAACCACGAGGTTCTTGGATTTTTGCTCTACACATCTCTACACCCATTTCCCAAGCGCTGGTGACCTCCCAAGCGCTGGTCTTCGGTGACCTCGCCGCTGAGTTACCACAGCCTTTGCGAGAAGGAGACTCAGTGGACTCCGTCCATTGTCATGGCCCGGGGCCTCGGTCGCTGTCGTCTTCGGTGGCCGGTGGCAGAGATGACATGGCGGGGTTGTGCCCCTCATCGAAGGAGGAGAGACCCCAGCTATAGGAGAACCGTTTACTTATGGCGTATTTGATGTATTTTTTCTGGAGGGCCAGGAATGCTGATGGACAAAGTTCTTGGGGTACCTCTTGTAGCTCAACATTGCCATGACAAGAAGCTTTACATAACCACCAAATCCTTGAGCTTTAAAGCTCCACTCCTTTTTCAAAAGGAAGGAAGACCAACTTCTTCGCTTGCGCGAACGGGTCAGTTGACCGGTCCTTGAGGATGTGACGCGGACCTTTCCCGACGTCAAGGCCTTTGATGATGTTCAGCAGCAGCCACCTGGGCAGACAAAATCGAGCGACACAAATGGAGCAGTGTAAAGCGATCGTGGAGACATCGTTTTGGGGGAATCAACATGTTGGATCTCAGCGTTTGTCTCGTCCATTCCAAGAATTAGAAGGACAAAGCCTGCCCCTTTCTGTTTTCTTGGGGGGATTGCCGGTCTCGAGCATCTTCCTCCGTCATGAACGCTCCGAAGACGCAGGGCTTCCTGGGTTTCTGGGTCCCAAGCCCGTTCCCTGAAAAGATGTACAGTTACTTGTTGGTGAGGTTGGTCAGGGTTGGTAGTAGTAAGGGCAAAAGATCAACTGACGGTGACCGCCTTTGATTAAGAGAGTGGTATGGTCAATTCTTCATGCAGATATCAGAATTGGGAGGCACAAAGATCTTAAATAAGATCTTCCCACCGCAGTTCCCACCGCCTCCTAAGGTGACCAACATGACGCATGACCCTTTAGAACAATGATCCACATCTGGTTGTGTGGATCCCCCGCTTAGAAGCATCAGCAACAGGCTCCTGGAGTGACCTTTGCTAAGGCGCCTCAAGCGTGTGCTGAACGCCTATGCCAGCGCGGGTACCGAGGGGCATCATTGGTCAAACGGAATGGCCACAGCAAGAGCGATCATGTATATAACAGGTGAATTAAATTGGCATGGCAGACCTTCTTAGAAAGAAGAGCCAGACGAGGGGTGGTCAAAACTACTGTAGTCCTGGAAAAGAGATGTGTGGTTTAACGCACCTGTTCAGGTAAGGAGCCCAAAAAGTATCCAAAAACAGATCTCATCTTTGGAAGAAATTCACAGGGCCTCGGTCGACTTCACAGCGCCTTGGTCGAAGCACTTCCTTCACCTGGCATGAGGTTGCAACCCAGAGATTGGCTACTGCCAGGCGCTGGAATTTTCGACCCGATGCGGGTCTTATTTCGTGGGGGACATCGGACCAGGTCTTCTTTCCGAGATAAAGATTGGCAGGCTCCGGCCACACATTGGCTCCCTGTGGTTTGGGGGCATGAACTGAAGATGGGCCCTTTTGGCACATCTTTCTGTGTGATTTGCACGGGGCTTCAGAACTTCACAGATGAGTGTGTGAATGTAGATCTCCCACAGCAGGAGGTCAGGAAGATGATCTTCCTTTGACTGGTGGATTTGTGTTCATCTACACTCCCTGGAACAATCATGGAAGTGGAGTTCACAGAATTGCTGAAGGTCATTGAATCGGAAGTTTCTTTGTTTATAAAGACCTGGATTTGACGATACAGCAGAAAAAGATGGATTGCCTGTTCTTCAGAGCTGTTGAACTTTTCAATGCGCAGTCTTTCATCATCCATTTTCCCACATTCATCCAATCCCACCTATATATAAATACACATTCATCTATCCGGTGTCGGTCCGCACATCGACGACGGGAGGGCATGAATTATGTCGCGGGCTTGCTGCTGCTCGTCTCTCACAATGAGGACGTCGCGAAACATGTCATCCACAATCCTGTTTTCGGCGTGGTGCTGGTTGGTAGCTTCTTGGGACTTGTTCGGTTGGTTGGTCGGTAGGCTGGTGGCGGTTGAATATTGCAAGGTCTACAACTTCTGTTTAGGAAGAGGTGCAGGCATTTAGCCAGTTTTGTGATGGTTGTTGCGTTTCTTTTTCTCTTAGATGCCTGGCCTGCCAGTCATCTTGACTAGCTTGGTTTGCTTGGCCTCCAGGAAGAGAGCTTCTTTGTCTTCACCCAGTTGATGGAGCATGAGGCCAACTTTGGGCAGCAAGACCAACTAAGCGAACTAGGTCCTAAATCTTGGAAAGGAAGACAGAGGATTGGGGGGTCCCATCGAATGTTCATCACACATGGAGTACTGGTAGATCGCTTGATGACGGAAAGCGCAAACTGACACTAGAGTTTACCGAACACACATACATGACTTGTTGGGACGACCCTTATCCAGACTTTTACAGAAGTTGGCCAGATGGCGGTTCATGTAGTCGGCTTTTGGCAATCTTGGTTGGGAACGGGCGAATTGATTTTCTGCTTTGTTTGCTACTGTAAAGGTAACAACTCCTCCAACAGAAGCAATGCCCTTTGCCCCTTTGCCAGATGCTGTTTGCATTTCACTCAGATGACTTGTCAAACATTTTGTGAGTTACAACTGTATTCAACTCACCACGGAGTGGGGAATAGGCTCCATGAGCGGGATTCGTATCACTAGGAGTGACAATGGAGTCCCCAAAGTGGAGGGTCTTCGCATCACTAGGAGCAAACCAAACTGGGTCTTTGCAATGACCCCAGACATAGCTCCCACCGGCGCCCGAACACGCGACCGTCCACGGACGACGGCGACCGACAACGCGACCGTCCACGCGGACAGGACTTCGGCCTCGCGGGCTTCTATGTGGGTAAGTCGGGGCTCTCAACGTGGCACCGGTCTTCAACGTGGCGAGGAGAGAGCCATGGAGAGCCCGGAAGGCAGGAGGTTCGGTGCTCTTCGACCTGGCAGATCAGACTCTTTGTGAGGGTGTTCAGCTCGAAGACGACGCTTTTATAGGAAAGAGGCCCACAGCTAGCCCAAAGTCCCTGTTATTATATTCCTGGTTTGCAATGTTTGATTCAGTCTATCATCTTTGAATCTTTGAAGATCCTTAGAGAAGAATGATCAACTGGGCAAAGTTTTGGTCTTCACCAGCATGTTGATCAAGAGGCGTGACCACCGACATGTGCCTTCCAGAGTCGATTCGACGAAATGAGAGATCTGCGATCCAGTCTCACCTGCCCTATACCACTATACAACCCTATACCACTCTTCCTCAACGACGGACCTCCGGCGCCGCTCCCAGGCTGCCGCTCCTCCGGCGCTACTTGCGTGCCTGCGAGAGCCTAGTGGCTGATACGCTCCCCGAGCTGCCGGGAGCCCCACGGCTTCGCCGCTTCGCGGAGACCGGTGGAGACCGGGGTTTCGCCATGCCCGAGCGGGTTGGTGACTGAAGATCCCCAAACTGAATGAGAAAGGTGCTAAGGTGAGCACATGTTTTAGACAACCAAGTACTTTGGAAAAGCACTAGCGCTTGCGCTGAAACCGCCACGTTCGCCCTCCACCCGAACCTCGGGGTCAGGCGAGAGCACTTCATCAAGCAGAGCGTGCAGCCGGCGGTGTGCGCACGGTTCCGGGGTGCTTTTGACCGGGTCGGTTCCGGGTGTTTTGGGGCGACCCGTGTGAAGCGGCCTTCAGGACCGAAGGACCTGGTCTAAACAAGGACCATGTCAACGGGTGTGATTTTAACAAACTGAAATAAGGAGACCTCCCAGGCAACCCCCCTGGAAGGTTTGGGAGATCGACAGTCTACCCAGCCAGGTCCAGGTGGTCTCCCTATTACACATACAAATATGCGGATGAAGCACCCTTTGGATTTCTGCAGTTTCGGTTGGTTGCATCTTTGGGTGGGGTCCTCCAGCAAAAAGACCCAGAGACATCCAGACACAACGTTATACTCCAAGCATGATACCCTCCATCCCGGGTATTAATCTGGATATGCCTGAAAGAATCAGACCCAAACAAAGGGCCCAATCAGCAGATCTTGGTCTAATTCTTAGGTGAATCAGGAGGGGCAGATGTTTGTGATGTTAGGCTTATCACCTACAAACTTGAGCCATACCATACTGTACCTGTACCCTGCCACGATTGGTGTTCGGCGTTTCGGCCACGTCTGGCAGTCCCTCGCCGTGACTCCAGCCAGTGGCGATTTGTGCGGCCCAGGGACGTGATTCTCCATGCAGCAAGTAGCTGACCCAAAAGGTCAGTCGCAAGTGGTTTCCGTGTTTTCCCCTTTTCTTTTAGTTCTCAGGGATCTTGGTACTTACTGTGAAGATTGCTCTTGATGAGAAACTTGGGATGTCGGACTTGGGATAGAACCAGGGCAGCCCAGAGCAATTGCCTGGACTGCAGGGTCCCGAACTAACTAACTATTACTAACATCGAACAACCAGTTCTGATAAATGTCAGTTTAGAGTTTAAACATTTAGGGTGAACAATGGCCAGGTTTAGATTGCATCGATGGGTTTCTAGATCTTTTACCTCAAAATATGCGATCCAAACTGAGCCCAAACTCTGAGATTCGCAGATTCGCGATGGACATGAGGCCTGCTGCGTGGAGTCGTTTTTTGGGGTCCCAAAACTTGAAAACTTGCGGTTTTAAGTTCGCGAAGAGAGAGAGAGAGAGAGAAGGGAGGAAACTGTGACAAACCTCATGAAGATGCTTGAACAGCTTGGATCTCCATTGGTCCAGTTGGGGTCAAACAGGTTTGGCATGCTTAACGAGCGTGCGACGTATGTCGACGTTGCATTGACGTCCTTACATCTTGATGTCTCGGCTCTTCGACACGAACTGAGCAAGTCTTGTTGTGTGCTGCCAGCAATGCTTGCACATCTTTTGTGGTGTAAGTCTCAGAGTCTTAGTGTCTTAGTGCATTGATTCTTGCGTTCCTAGCACGCACTGGTGATTCCATGTCCTTGGCAACGTAAGATTAAAAAAACAAACCGGTTGTCCCTTGTTGGCTCAAGTCTTGATTGCATCTCCTATAGGTCCTAGCTGCCATGGACAAATTGCTTCGTAGAGTGAGCATCTCTTCCGAAGATGCCGAAGTGATCACCTATGTCCCAGAATTGCCCGAAGGAGAGGCGCTGGAGATGAGACCGCTTGAGAGGCGCAGATGGATTGGACGGAATGACGCGGCAGAAAGCCGTAGACTGGCCGCAGCGAACGCTGCAAACCTGTCATTGCCATCCTCGTCTAGTCTTTGGCAGCGAAGAGCATCCGCACATCAGAGAAGCCTGCCTGAGCCAATCAATCAACACCTGGGGGCTCCACTTGCGTGATTCCATTTTCGTGGTGCCTGAAGCATTAGAGGAAGCTTCATTTTCGTTGCCACCCAACATTTGAAGCGGCGGAGCTTTGAGAGCCCAATGTTTCATCTTTGACAGCTTGGCACTCTATAGATTTGTGCCCAAGTGTAGGATACGTCTCCATGGCCGCCGATCCCTCCCAGAAAGGGCGGGGTTGGCATAGCAGTCTTTATAAGTGGATCTTCGTAGAGTCCTAGGTGAACCACCGAAAAGGTACCAATTTGGACACATTTGCGACTTGCCTGCATTTTTCTGCACAAATTTGACCTTGACTAGGCTACTGTTTGGCTTAGCAGCAATATCCTTTTCTTGGCTGAACACATTCTCTTTCGTTGTTTCTCTTTTTCGCATGGTCAACGGAATGATGCACTTCTTTATAGATTCGCAGCAAAGCCGCACCAAGTTGTTGAAGCTTTGCTTTTTTGTCAACAAGATCAGTCGCAGTGGTGTCGCTACAGATCCACTGCATGACCTGTTCGACCGGCGCTTTCGAGCTCAAAAAATGCAACCAGTCTAGTCACCACAATCACAAACCCAAAATGCTGGATTTATTCTGAGGAAATGCTTAGCAAGGCTTAGTATGTAGTTGGGATATGCATGCACTGATGAACTGGTGTAATGTGTAATTCAAAAGAGCTCATCTTGTCAACACAAGAGGATACAATCTGGCCCGTCCATGTTGGCTCAAGTTTTATGGACTCTAGCATCTCCTAGGTTCTAGTGTTAGTTGCCATGGACAAATTGCTTCGAAAAGTGAGCATCTCTCCCGAAGATGCCGAAGTGATCACCTATGTCCCAGAATTGCCCGAAGGAGAGGTGCTGGAGATGAGACCGCTTGAGAGGCTCAGATGGATTGGACGGAACGACGCGGCAGAAAGCCGTAGACTGGCCGCAGCGAACGCTGCAAACCTGTCATTTCTGTCTTCCAACCTTTGGCAACGAAGAGTATCAGCACCATAGAAGCGACAGCCTGAGCCGTTCAGTGAGAGACACGATTTCAGATCCTTTAGTGTCTCTAGTGTCTTGCATGCTACATGCACAAGCGATAGTTGTTGGCAGTGGAAGAATGTCGTCCAAAAACACGTCGCGTTGCATTATCGCCGGAGGGAAGTCCCAGATTTTCCCACTCGTCAAACAACTGTGGCCTCCACAAGGTACAGTCAAGCGGATCACATGAAGGGTATTTGACGAACCTCTTTTCGTTGCAGAAGGGTTTTCTCTGTTTTTTTTTATTTTTTCAGTGTGTTTTCTTTTAATGGTGGAGACCGCACTGCGTTACATGGTTTTTACGATTCTTATATCATCTAAGGGTGCCTCACCCGAGATGTGGTTGCACAAACCGCCCACGCTCGCGCTCATGCGGGTCGATGGGCGGTTGTTTGAAACCTTTTCAATCCGAGTGTGCTTGGCCAGAGCCCACTGCGTCGCGGCCCCCCGAACTACATACTATAGTAGGCAGATAAAATATCCCTTAATTATTTATCTGTACGTATTGGCAGCCTGTTTGTTCTTTGTGTGGGAACCGCCATCTGAATTTTTGCCCTAATTTTTAAGAGTGGGGCATGTCATTCTTGCCATATCTTTCTCGGTCAGTGCAGAAGTTGGCCTTTTGCATGTCTTGGCCTTGGGTACCACTGCAAGCCGTGAAAACCAGATTTGCAGATGTGTGAGTTTCTAGCAATTGGAGGAAGGACTGGTTGCTTTCGGCATGATCGCGTTTTTCCTGTAGATGCAGATGGAGGCCTCAAGAATCGATATAGGAATTGACTGGACAATGAAATATAGTAGAATTCTCTGGTGTCTGGCTTGGAGTTGAAGGGACTTTTTAAAATGCCGTGGATGGACCTCCGGCGCCGGAATGCCGGGATCTTGTGTTGGATCCTTCGTGCTGGGATCCAATGGGTGTGTGAAGACCCGTGGGGATGGTGCTGGATGTGGGCCATACACACCACAGCCCCGGCCGACTGTGGCCGTCCGGGGCTAAGACCCTCTCAGATGGAGCAAGCTGTGAGCTGAAAGCGGGCTGAGCGCTGCAAGCTCGGTTCGCCGTGTTCGAAGGGGGCATTGCTACTAGTAACAAGGGCATTACTACTTGTAGCAAGGAGCTACCTTGTAACAAGTGTCTTGTGAAGAATCAGAGTCCTTCTGTTTTGCAAGGTCAACAGCTCTGTAGTTCCAAGGGGCAGTGCTTGTCAACAGAGCAGTTAGTAGCTGAATGAATCTGAATGATGTTGAATGTTGAAGCTGAATGAATCTGGATTGATGCCCCACCCCAAAAGATGTTCCAAACTAGGCAGGACGTGAAAAACCATCGCCATCTCAGATCCTACCCGTTGACGACCGGTGAGGCAGGCCTTTCTCGCACGGGATGGGAGGATCAGCAGCCCGGTGGAACCAGGTCGATGAACGAAGGGTTTGAAAACGGTTGGTAGACCAAGTGGTATGCTTTTGTGTCACTATATGTAGTTGATGGAAAGCATGTATAGAGCATAGCATTCCTTGACGTCTTCTCATGCATCATGTGTCACTCATCATTTTGCTTACGCGACTTGGTATTTGGCTCAAGCACTGCGGAAAAAGGCGTTTGCGCGTGGTGCTTGCCGTTGCTACTAAACTACCAACTTTGGCTGTGGTTGGTGAGTTTAACTGGTTAACAGCCTCAGCTATTGCATTTTCATATTCGTCATAGGATAGCCTTGAGCCAGCTTTCCTGTGGCAACCCCGCCACTGCTTGTGAGTCTCAATACCTGGATCCAACATCGAGTTGAAAGGGTCCTTCTTGGGATAAGCACGTAGTGTGATTTCGGCATCCATTCGTTCGTCAGGCTGCCGTCAACAGAAAGCCGAGTTTCAGTTCCAAGGACTGCATTTCGGGCCGTGGGGCGTTGCTTCTTCAGCAACACCACTTCGTAGGATAGGATCCGAGTTAAATCCATATTGGAAGAGACTAGTTTGATCGCATCGTAAGATAGCCTTCACTAGCTCAAGGTCAAAGATCAACTAAAGTGCAGAACTCATAGAGTAAAGAGCTTAATTGGTGCATTTTGCCGATCCCTGGTGCTACACCCAAAGGTTTGCATTGGTGTGATCTTAAGCTCATTCATTGAAAGAAGCAAGCCGTATTCGTTGCATTGGATCAAAGGAGTTAGTTACTCTTGTTTCACTGCACGCCACCTCGTTCGCTGTTCGGCGTTGAATGCGAGCTCGCTCTCGATCCCCTGCTGTCGCCGTTGGCACACCGCTTCAAGACGT